AATTATTAACTAACCGGTAAATTACTAACTAGACAGGCTGCGAATTTAAGTTTTCTGCAGATAGGCACGTGTTTCCTACACGGAAAAAAAACTGCGACGTCGCCGCCTTCCTATCATACTCCATTTTTTAAACGGAAAACTACTCAATGGCAATTCTTTAAAACTGCCATGATTTTTTTTCTCTGCATGTGCGAAGAAAATTCTGCAAAAACTTCAAGGAATAATGCCAATTTGTTCTCCTTTAAACACTGGGGGGAAAAAACACATTGGATCTAGAGCCCAGACTCTTAAAAACATTGACAATAAAAATGACTCTTGATTCAATCAGATTTAAGCTTAAATCAAAAAGAAATCCGCTCAAATTAAGAGGCTTGGTTCTTGATTTAAGCTTAAATCGGATTGAATCAAGAGTATTTTTTCTTGTCGATGTTTTTAAGAGTCTGGACTCTAGATCCAATGTGTTTTTTTCCAGTGAAGAAATAACATAGAGGCGGAGATTTTCAGACACCACAAACGAGTTATGTGATTGCCGACTCACGCCGTCGATATTGCCGATATTTCAGCGTATCCAAAATTTCACTTAGAACATGATTCGCGCGACGAAAATTACCTGAATCAATAACTAAGGTATTGACGTTTTTAATTTATATTGGTTATGGGAATTTTGAATTCACCGTTCCGGCTTTTTTTCTATCCTGGCGTTAAAGTCTCCAAATTTGCTACGTGCATGAAATGATTTCTGGAATAAATTGGTAATCTTGAAGTTCCCTCGCCTCCTTTTTTTCTATCGTTGCGTTAAAGTCTCCAAGTTTTCTAAGTGCATAAAATGGTTTTCAATGGACTGGAAAAAAAAACACATTTGATCTAGAGTCCAGACTCTTAAAAACATCGACAAGAAAAAGCGCTCTTGATTCAATTGGATTTTTGCTTGAATCAAAACGAAATCCGCTTAAATTAAGAGGCTTGGTTCCTGATTTAAGCTAGATTCCGATTGAATCAAGAGTATTTTTTCTTGTCAATGTTTTCGAGGGTCTAGACCCTAGATCCAATGTGTTTTTTTTTCCAGTGTGGACCATTGGACAAGGTACGTATTTAAGCATCTGATGTAAATTCCTCTTCAAAATACCACGTAAATCACAATTTGTCCAACGAAAATTACTAACATTAACTCCAAATTGAGATAAGGTTTTTGTTTAGCCTTGGTTCCAAAAAGATTTAATTTCCCACACCCATGAAAAATATATTCTACCTAAATCAAATCACGCACAACGGACTGGAATAAGGCTTCTTAACTTAGCAAATGATTCCTTCCCCGCTTTGTGTTGTTCAAAATGTTAACAACTAGCAACAGCTGAGCTGAAGCACCCGAGATCGAGGTTGCCATACTTTCACACCGCAGAGACTTTTACGGTAACGTAAGTTGCAATTTGAGTCACGTAGACATTTGTTTTTTCATGAGTGGGAGGTTTGAATTTACGCTTCGAAAAACGTGTAATATCCTAATTTGGAGTTAATTTCTGTATTTCCAAATCGTGTTTTAAGTGAAATTTTGATAAGTGTATCGGCATGCTTAAATTCGCACCTTGTCTAGTGATCCATGGACTTCAGCCCACTATTTGAGTTTAAGTATCAACCGAAAGTCATATTGGGCCTCACTGAATCTGAAATCCAATCACGCGATGCGAAACATTATCAAGGAATACTACTTTTATGTTTGCCAATTTTTTTATATAAAACTGACAGGTAAGGAGCTAATTGTTAGGGATGAGCGAAATTCTCGACTTGAGAACTAAACAATCCGAATGGGGGAAAAAAGCGACCAAATTGCATGTAGATCACGGAAAAAATTGTCCGCAGCCGTAATTCCAATCTTGTTGTAAAAGTCATATTGTGTTTTATATTTATTTGATTAACATATTGATTCCTGCTTCCCCGACGACAATCACAGAATATATGCATGATTTTTGTCAACACCTCACCTAGGATTTTATTCGAGAAACCTCAGGCCCACTCTCTTTAATTTGTTCGTTTTTTATGAACCTGGCCCTCTGTGCTCCAATTCGATGACACTAAAGCAATCGGTATAACGTAGGACATTTCTCTACAAACTTTGGGTCCTGCCTCGACGAGTTCTGTGAACTGACCGTGGGTTGATGCACATTCCTGACTGGCCTTTTCTAAAATTTTCCACGAAAACAAATATTTTGAGATGCTGGTTCGAAAATGATTTCCTAATGTGTCCATGAAACGACTCAGCCGCATTCGTCGTTCTTAGGCCAGTTAAGAATGTGCAGGCCGCAGCTCACATTTCAGGAGGGTAACATTGTAATACATTTGAAAAATCCAAGCGTTTCTCGAAAAATCGACAATTTCGCGATGGGAATCAATAACACCTCACTTTACTTGGACAATTGGCAACGCTGAAAAGGAGTATGAGAAACAAGGAAAGCGCCTTCAGCAGCGCATGCGACGAGCTCTAAGCGAATTTCATTTCAGCGCCTGTGGATTCAACGACTATTCGGGCTCCAAGAATATCCGTGTTGCATACGCTCAAAAGTGAAGGCGTTTTGACTCTCTAGAGCCCACCGATCCAACCGCGGATCTACGAGGATCCAAAATGACAGAGGACAGGACCCTCATTTCTTCTTTTGCATATGCAGTATTACAAAAAAATCTTGAAGTACTTTACCCTCGAATAGTTGCGCACAGGCTTATAATTGGATATCTTTTGTGCTTCAGTTTTGATTACACGATGTGCCGAGTATGGTTTTCACAGCAAATTTTGGTGCCTAAGAGAAGTATTTGTAGTATAAACGGAGAAGTGAAGTTGTTCTCTGTTCTGTCATTTCCGATCCTCGGAACACATTCCGCCGACGTTACCGCGCCGCGTGTGAAGTGCTGAGTGCCTGAACAGTCAAAACGCCTTCCCTTCTGTGTGTATGCAACACGGACATCCATGGAACCCGAATAGTTGCATCTAGCCGCCGTATTCATTTAGAGCTCGTCGAATGCGCCACTAACTGAGATCTTATACATCTTAAGTTCCAGCGATGCCGAATGTACGAATGAAGGGAAATATTACTGATTTTCATCGTGACAAAGATGCTTTGATTTGTTACATATATTAACCTTGCTCACATGAATGTGAACTGCGAGCTGACTTATGAACCGCCATTTCAAAATTCGGTGAGTCGGAAGCATAAGCTTGGAAAATATCGACGGTGTAAGTCGGCAATCACATATCTCGTCTGCGGTGTCTGAAAATCTCCGCCTCTTTGTTATTTTTTAAAGGAGAACAAAGTGACATCATTCCTTGGAGTTTGTGCAGAATTTTCTCCGTACAGAGAAGAAAAATCACGGCAGTTTTAAAGAATTGTCATTGAGTAGTTTTCCGTTTAAAAAATAACCTATGACAGGAGGTTTGCGTCGTCGCAAACCGAGTAATGTGATTGCCGATTTACACCGTCGATATATGGCTCACGTTAGGTATTGATTACTTTGAGGTAATAGAATTGGAAGACCAGTAGACCGGGTTCATAAGAAACGAATTTATGATGATGTAATTAAAAAGAAGTCAGCCTAAATCTCCTCCCATAGAATCTTGTGTAAGGTGTTCACAAAAATCATTTTTCTTCTTAAGTGTCCATTTACTTAGGTTCTAAATTTTGAAAAATGCTGTTTTTTCACGGGGTTTTCAGAGTATCGTATTATGACTGTGCAACAAACGCATAAACAACATATTAAGTAATTTTTATGGTATTTCGTCTTGTTTGCATTTATGTCACATTGATAGTCTTTATAATAAATCTTTCACAAGCTTTCAAGAGTACTTCTTCTTGGAAATTTTTAAAAAACTCATGAAAAACAGACAATGAAACAATATGTAATGTTATCAAATTTTATTTTTATTCACTGATTTATTTTATAGGTATTTTGCCTCTCTCCGTCACGAGAAAGGAAATATTCTTACGAGCCTGTATTACACGCTGATCAGTTTCACTGGACCCTGGTTGGTTTTTTTTTTCTTTTTAGAAAAAGTATGCAATATTCGCGATTGTCCCGAGATTGTGTTTCAAACCTCCGTAATACACACTAATACTAACAGAAATATATATAATTCCAATCCCTTTGAGTATATTACGGGCCTGAGAGGCCTTATCTCTAACTACACTGAAAAAAAAATCTCGGTGTATTTACTAAGAAAAGGGAAAAATTACCAAGAATTCAGGGTTCTATATGATCCCAGTTTTTTCTTGGTAAAATTACCATTTATGGAATTGGTAATTTTACAGAGAAATCTCGGTAAAATTATTGAACTTTCCAGTGGCGTGGCGTGAATTGCGATGTATCGATTGTTATATGCCCTTTAAACCTATGGTAGAGAATCGATTATTAAGGTGTTCGCTGCGAACACCCTGTTTATCGATCCTTTTCCATAGGTTTAAATGACCGATCAATCGATATATCGCATAACACGCCACGCCACTGGAACTTTCTCGGTAATTTTACTGGACCTTGGTAAAAACGCCAATATTTTTTATCGACGTACTGTGGTAGAATTACCGAGATAAAATGGCAAAGTTACCGGGAAATGATTACCAATAAAAGTGGTATTCTTACCTGAAAAAAAAACAGTAAAAATACCGGTTTTTAGGTAAGCTTACCAGTCTGTCTTGGTAAAATTACCAATAATTGGTAAAAAAGTGAGATGGTAAAGGTACCAACGGACCGTGGTAAAAACGCCGAGATTATTTTTTCAGTGCAGAGAGTCAATAAATGCCGCCCTGCATCATTGGTGTGAAGATTCAGATCAGTTAGACGCACCGAAGGAAAACCTGATCTTGACCCTCCTCAATTCGGAGCGAGATGCGGGGCTTTCGGAAATCGGTGGAGGGAGGGGAGGTTACCAAAAGTGAAAATGGGGTGAAA